CTGCGTTGGCTCCCGGAACGAGGCCCGGATCGGCCAATGAGTGGCCACGAAGCTCTGGCCTACGGTCGCCTACCTGACCTTCAATGGGCCCCACCCGCACAGCCTCGCGATGGGGCATCGCGTCCGTCGAGAGCTGCTGAAAGTTGACAGGTGAGTGCAAATGACACGTGGTAGAGCGGTGTGTGATACCAGCCCCACGGGCCCCCACCACGGATATGGGCTGGGAGTGTGGGAGCAGCCCAAGCCCAGAGAGTGAAGGAGGTGCAATGCAGTTGTGGGGAGGGGAAGCGAGCAAGCACTGAACGAGTGCTCGCAGCAAGCAATCAAGGAATGGGAGCGGTACAAGCAGTTCAGAAGATAGTACTGGCGATATGGAAATGAGTGGACGGTTGGTTGAGCTGGGCTGGGCTGGGGGATCATGGACTAGCTCAGTAGCAGCAACGGCAGTTCGAGAGAGAGCAAGAGCTGACAACGAGTGGCAAAAAGCAGCAAGAGACGAGTAAAAGTCCAAGAGGCAGGGGACGCCGACCGAGAGACGGAGAAAGAAGAGGAGCTGATTTCGGAGGAAGTGGTAGAAAGCAGCTGCAGCAGGACAGCGGGGAGGAGTGGGAGTGGGAGTGGAAATTGAGCAAGTGGAAGTGTAGGAAGAGAGGAAGAGACAGAGAGACAGAGATGGCGGGGTGGGCAGCCGTGGTGAGCAGGGGAGCATTGTGCTCACGCTTGGCTCCCAGCGACAGCCATGGCAGTGCTGGTAGTAGCAGTGGTGGTCATCAGAGTTGTAGCTCGGACGGGGTGGTGAAGAACTTGGGCTCGCTGAGGCATTCTTCCAGGAGTTCGCTGCGGATTGGCAACGGGACTAGTGCTTCTCCTGCCTCTTCTTCTTCTTCTTCTTCTGACGCCGCCGCCGCTCCTGCCTTACAGATTGCCACTCGGGGATCGTCCCAATGGGGCCAAGCGGCCAGCGTAGGAGCTCCCCCAGCTGCTGAGGCAGAGACGCCCGATGAGATGGTTGCCACAGGAGGTAGATGCGGGGTTCATGTAGGACAGATGTGCGTGCAAGGCCTCAGAGAAGACATGGAAGATGACATTATTGTCCAGGAAGCTCCGTTCGGATTCACCTACGCCGGTGTCTTCGACGGACACGCAGGCTTCGCTACTACTGAATTTCTGAGGTGGGTTATATCCCCGTAAGACGCAGCCACATTCGCTCATTTTGGTATAAATAACTTCTTCATCACGAATGGCTTCATACTGCAGCAATTGGACAGACAGTTATAACATAGTCCCTCAAAACGAGTGAAATTGGACGAAGTGAACTCTTAAACGTATGTCCTGAATGTTAAACTCGTCTGAAGCTGAGATTCCCAACTCACCCGCAGATTTTCCCGAATCAGTATCAAATGAAAATTTATGAATCTGGACGTGATGTGAACCCGGTTAAAGTGTTGTTTTCCTGACAACGTGATTCGTAGCCGCAGGGTCTTAGTATTCCTTGGGGATCGAACGGGTCGGACTTGTGATTTTGGACACACCTTTGACCTCTGTGAAGGCATTATACCACCTGAGTTCCACTGGTTCTTTCAGCTGGGCTCACTGGATAGCAATCTCTTGACCTTGAGTGAGGATATTTTTAAGGCTTAGAGAGACCACAAGCGAAACTACGTGCACAATTACGACTGACCAAATGGGACCAACCCGTTCAGAAAACTAGCATCAAAGGAGGTTTATATTTTCTGCCGTCTCTTTTGAGGAAAAGGATGAAATCTATTCTGCGCATCGGTGGGCGCAGATTGTTGTTTCCACTAGACCTGCCTTCACTTTAGCAAGGCTTGGTCCTTGGGCGTCAATTGACTATGTTGAGTGAAATTCTCAGGAATGAATTGTACAAGGATTGCGTGGACTGCCTCGAGGGAGGCACCCTACTGGAGACGGGTGACCAAAATGCGTTGAAAGAGGCTTTTGTTCGAGCATTTTTGCAAGCCGATAAGCGCTTGATACATTGGTGCGGAGACTACTTGTCCCTCAGGCCTCCAGAAGAAGAGGACACCATGTGCTGAAGTTTTTGCTGCAGAGGTTTGTCACAGAGGCGGTAGAATGCTCATTTCGCGGTGCAAGATGAACCGAATTCTATTTCGGATAGTGTCTACGTAAATTTACTGACAAACTTACTTCGAAATATTTTCCTTACAGGTTAGAAAACAGCGCACCCGAGAAAGAAAAGGAGTCGGGATCCACGGCCACGGTTGCATTTGTACGGAACGACATCGCAGCGATTGCACATGTGGGAGATTCGCGTGCGGTAGGTAATGACTCAACTTGACAAGCTTGTGTTCCAGCGCGGCAGCCATGCCCCAGATGCCCAAAGGGATGGTTCGCCAATCGGAATTTTGGTTTGGATTACTTCCTCAGTACCGTAATCTCCAGTCGGAGGAAATGGAACAGGCATGGTTGAATGGAGGGCGTTTCTGTGGTCCAAACTTGAATTTCCCCTTGAAGCGTGCAGGTCCTTTCCCGGGGTGGTAAGGCTGTGGACCTTTCGGGAGATCATAGACCCTTCGGAAACAGTAAAACTGCTCTCGCGGAGATCAAGCGCGTGAAGGATCAAGGAGGCTGGGTAGACGGCGTGCCCTCAATCCAATCAATCAATCTTCCTGCTGTATGGAGCTTCCAGTAGTGGCAGGATGAGTTTATTGCACCGATAAGACTGTTCGGGAACAAACGCTGTTTGGAAGCTTATCTGGAAATCCAATGTGTGATTTGCAGGTCAGCCATGGAAGACTCTGCGCCACGCTTTCAGTATCACGAGCTTTTGGGGACGTGGGCTTCAAAACGCAGAAGCAAAGGTGGGGTGGGATTTCAGTGTCCATGATTTGCATGTGGCCCTTTCCGTTTCACTCACTTGCAACCTTCAAATCGATTTGTTAAAAAGCAAGGAAAATAAATGTGGTTTCTTTACAGTCGCTTGCAATTGGTGAACTGTTCTATCGTGCGAAGTTGTCCACCTGAAAGTGAAGATTCTAACATGTGGTCCGCATCGTTCTGGGAAGTCTGGCTTTAGGATGCTCGATGAAGGAATCAGAGACAGACGGTGGACAAAAGCTTTTACACATAAGTGAGTGATATCTCTGCCTAAAATTTAAGTTGCGGTGATGCTTGTGGTTACTGATTCTGTGAGAGATAGGTGGGAAGAACACAGTGATGGTGACTGAATGAGAAAGATTGCGCTCATTAATGTTTGCCCGTCATAGCCTGAAGACCATAGGCACCTGGCTGAGTGGTGCTAGGCTGAATGATGAACATGTTGCTTTTAAACATTAAAGTATGAACCGAGTAGATAAATATAATCCAATCATCGAGGTGAATTCGTCGATTTGCTGATGGATGAGAATTTTGTGCTCTGGCAGGCTGAACATGGATGGTGTTTGGTTAGAGGCTACTCCAGAGGTGAATAGAATAGAACTTGAAAAAGAGGACGAGTTTATCATCATTGGTTCAGATGGGTTATGGGATACTTTCAAAAGGTAATTGTCCTCTCGAATGGAAATTTTAGTACTTCACAAACGAGGGAATCAAATTGATATCAACCATTAGAAGTTCAAATGTCAAAGAAACAGCACGCAAGAATATGTTCGATCTTGTCGTCTTAGTCATCTGAGTGATTACAATATCTGAATGCGTCCATTTAATACCTGGTAGGTATATTCGTTGACATTTGATTCGAACTCATCGGATTGTACAGTCAGACTCGTCCGAGCTTTGATCATTATTCCTAGAATCAAACATGAGAATGGTAACCTAAATAATTTGTTTCTGTACTACAGTGGTGACGCTGTTCAATTTATAAGGAAGCAGCTCAAAGAACATGGAGATCTACAGGTATTGTGACCCCCTTGTTTCATGATCGGCGAGACAAGTCGCACCTAAATCTGTGCATAGATGTCTGGAGTAGGAAGGTGGTTGAAATCAATCTTGTGATTTGCAGGCCTTAGGATTAATATCTTTCCAACTGTTTTGAATGATATTTTGTTTGTCTGTTCCAGAAAGCTTGCGAAGCCATTGTGCAAGCCACCCTGGTACATTCCCAACTTTTCGCTTTATATCATTCACGTCCCGCATGTATACTGTATTTTGACAGGTCCATGCATATTTTCTAGTCCCATATGTGGTAGTATTGCACTCAGGGTCGGTAGATCGAGTTTTTCAGCGCTAAATGTATCTGTTAAAGGGCAACCTACATCTGGAATTCAGTCAAGCTTGTCTTGTTTGGCATAGAAATTCGTTTTATAGTCAATTCATTGTTCAACTATGGTCCACAATCATGGAGCTCACTAAAGCTCTGTGTTTTCGTTCCCAGGAGCGACACGGACAAGACAATATTAGCTGTATAATTCTTGATTTCGGGTGAGTCATCTTTCCGGCGTCTCATTCTCGCATTTATGCTTCACAGTCAAGATATATCAGTCTTCCGTAAAAATCAACATGTTTTGAATGCACGTTTTATCTTCAGTAATAATAACACACGTGCGAATCAATATCAGTCACTAGATGTACTCTCCGAAGCGTTGAGATTCGGACTCCATCGTCCTTCCAGCATGTGATAGAGAAATTTAGAATAATCTCTTATTTGTCAATATAAGTGTCGTGAGGAATAAGAAGCTCATAAAAGTCATTAGTAAAAAATGTGTTCTAGCTGCTTGAGGTCTTTACCAAGTTATTGAGATTCTTATTTCTGTGTGTCATAAAAAAAATGCCGAAGAACCGGTGTCTCGTAATTAGTTGAGTCGAGATATTGAGGATCATATTCGAAACAGCTGTTTGGATGAGTACGAATATTATGATCTGGGAAGTAGAAGATGCAAGTTAGTTATGGGAGTTAGATTGTGACTTGGACTTCCTTTTCTTCCGTTCCATGTACGACCGTGACTTGCATCATCGAGATATTGAATACTTTCCATTGTTAGGAGGATAAGGAAAGTTGGAATCGTTGGAAACAAAGATGCATGCTAGCTGTGGGGTTTGAACCCACGCGTACTGATGTACAGACGATCTTAAGTCGTCCCCCTTAGACCACTCGGGCAAGCTAGCTCTGACAGTATGTTTGTCGCCATATGTTTTTCTTATATTTGTGATATGGGTTCCACCACATTAGTTCATCTTTCTGCATAGCTCCAGCTCATTAAATAAAACCACTGTTCACTTTCATCAGTCGGTAGAACCCACATTTTAGTGTACATTTTTTAATTGAAATCATTTAGATGGAACCTCTAGATAGTAACAGTAAGCATTTTATTTAACCGAGTAATCACATACCTTCCACTGTGATGTTGACTTTCTCTGCCGTATGAAGCGTATGACTATCTTGTGACAATGGCTACAATAAAATTGTCACCACAATGTATTTTCAAATCAAAGTGTCTAAAATAATTTTTCTTTTGTGGTTGTGCAGAAAGGTTCCAAAAGGGGAAACGTCTATACTACCATTTAAGTTTTGGTAAGTGTAGAAATCCTTGGAATTGTAAACATATCACTCTTTCGGCTGCTGTCTCTGGCGAATATGATCGCAGTGGAGCAATCATGATGAGATTATTTTGCGTCATGTCTTACTTGCCCTCCTGGCAGTCGTGTATATTACAAGTTCGCGCTTTGTTCCCATCGGTACCAATATATATCATAACATTCTTCTGATTCATGGATAACAATCAAATCGTCGTATTCTCCTTGTTTCTAGTTAGTCTGAAGGAATGTATGACACACAATCTTCTGGACTGCCCAGTAATGCCAGGCTCGATTATAACGAGAATGTCCTCAAGGTGGGATGAGTTCCACCGTGTAATCAGGTTCAAGGTTGCCGATAGCAGAGTTGGCCGCACGCAAAATTAATTCGCAACGAATTGTAAACAGACCAAACGATTTTAGCTCGCCTTTTAGCCTGGCAGTGTTCAGGTCCTGGGTTAGAGTCTCAAGCTAGATTTACCTCCGGTAGCCCCTGGTTTGTGATGCAATTTGAGACTTGGTTGATTCCAAGCAGTGCAATGTAGGGGATGGAAATTTTAAATGTCTCCAGGTTAAAATATGATAAAAACCATCCGAAGATGAGTTGCTAACAGTTTAAAGAAGAAAATTTCCAAAGAACTCCTCACAGTCCATTAAAACGACCAAATTATCTTGCCCTTTCAGAACTCACAAATCCCTACTTTTAGTCCGGAAGGCGTGTGAAGACTTCTAAATTCTAGATCTGAAGTTTACCTTATTAAATATTAGAACATTCATTAAGGGAAATGGAAAGAGTCCTTGCCTGTCGTAAGTACCTGCCGTAAACGGTCAACTTGTCCTGACGATGGTGGCGACGCCAGGAGACGGTCTATGAAGATTGGAAAATAACGTCAAATCTCGTCCTATTGTACGTACCTGAGTGTGCATATTTCTTGGCGAGTACTCTTCTTTCTTCCCAGTGTTAGGAGTGTCACGATACACGAGAAATTGAGATTGCAATCTCCACTGGTAATATCACTGCATGTACAAAGAATCTTGCGGACACAAGCTACACTTTCACCACTGCAGCAATGGGGTGGGTTTGAAAGGGAGATCCAGTCTTGCGAGAGTAGCGCTGAGTTTTGAGTCGAATTAAAAGACTGGTCTTTTCAAATCTCTCCAATCTTATGAAGATCACCAAGCGCAACAAGAGGACGGTAAATTACAGCAATTCATTTGTTGCTGTGCTCTCTGCATTGAAGTTATCAGAGTATCAACGCAACAATTTGATTACGCTTGGAACGTGGCTTGCTTTGCACAGCTATATGAAATAATGACACTTAGATTAGAGAATTTAAATGACAGGGAGACGAAGGTGGGAGTCCACTCCTGCGCGTGCTTGCACATTACGCCCATATGCCCCAGGCAGTAGATTTTTCAAAATCAGACGACTGGTACGTGAGAAGAATCACCTCAGAAAAGCCCGATCGGAAAGCTTTAGGAGCGGATATTGAAAGTTTTCTCATGAAGGGCAGACTTTGTGATTGAGGGAACCTGAGTATACCGAAATTGACTAGAATAGATCTCAATTTGACCCGTAAGTTTGTAATGGGATTTCATATACATTAAGGGGTGTCGTGTTGCTTCAAGTTACGAATGAAGACACAATGATGAAATTGTGAGATCGTTTGAAGATAACATACAAAAAGTAATGGACAACGCGATTGTACACGAATTAGATCTTTATAAAGTTCAAAATGGCTGGAGGAACTGTGAAGGAAGATATTGATAGTTCCAACTTGATTATTGCAAAGTTGGCAAGTCATGAGGAATGTAGAGGATAAAAAGAAGCTGGTGCATCTACTAACATCTTTATCCAAGTCTTATGAGCATTTGGTCCATACTAGTTTATATGACAAGAGCAGTTGATTTTTAATAAGCCTTTTGACACTCTACTATACGATGACATGAGGATGAACATTTGCACAGAACTTTCTATTTGTCTACTTCAACTCTAACAATGTTTAGATTCCGGTCAAAAGAGTAATCTTTTAAGAGAATTATTTCTCTTAAAAGATTACTAGATATAAATCAAGAATTTATATCTAGTAATCTTATGGTCTAGACTTATGGGCCTCCTTCTCGAATTCGGCTTTCTGCTTTGTTAACCATTGCACATTATCTGTCAACTACCAAATTACTTGCGCTTACTCCTTTCTCCCCATGGCAATGCGGTGCATGGTCTAAATTAGATCCATGTATCCGTCATCCTCGGGATTCCAACCATACATATATACTACTCCCATCTCATTCAATTCCATAAGGACTGGGATCACCACCGCTTCCAACTTATGTGATAATTGCAATATGTAGGAGAGTGTTTCTGCAATTTCCTTGGTCTCCTTCACCTTCGGTTTGGACAATTGTGGAAGCACAATGTCAATAGACGTCTCAATCACTTTCTATTTTTGGGGCAAACTATCCTAAGGACTTTCCATGCTAACTTGCCTTTTCCTCTTTCTTGGAAATTCCACCACCACCTCTTCCTATCCCAAATCCTTTGTTCCTCCATTGATCTCTTCCATGTATTTTTCTTCTATGGGAGATGCAGGGCCTAAACTTTGGATAGACCCACTGCTCGCATCGTCATCTTCAAGCTTGAGGTCTGACAACCCTTACTCCAATCGATACAATTGTCGCTCCTTCGATGTTAGCCATTCCATCTTCAAATATATATGCACTAAGAAGGATGAAATATAAACCATTCCGTTGTCATCCTGTCGAAGTTGACTAGCCATCGCTTGTACAATCTAAGCAAATATTTCACCCCAATTAATCCCAATTGTACCATCTACAAAGCCTTCAACTTTATGCATATTGACATAAGTGGTTCGTTGAGATGAGAATAGCCGGTTCATCGTGTAGGCCACCTTACTCCTGAATACATCCTTGATCAACTCAATTTTGTACACATTCATCCCTTTCCTTTCCCTAAGATTGAACCACTTTATCTCGTCAAAGTTGAATCTTGTATGTAGAGCCGATCCTTCCAAAACAATGCCATCTTTCTCTTCCTCATAGCTACGGCCCAATGTCTTGGCCCAAAACTTCACATCCCATAGCTCATGTTACGTTTGCTTTCCAACAAAATATACTACTCTCCATCAACACACTTCTTTGCATAGCTCTAGACACACAAAATCCCATCGTTATGACAAGAAGACTCCTCCGAGGTTCTTGAGATGCAATAATTCCACCGACGTCTAATCCACCATCAGAATGAGGGATTGATTCCCATCGATATCTTGCACGCAGCTGGCGGCTTAATTCCTTTATATCCAGACATTACTGCCACAGTCTTTTTTGACATTTCCCTCTTACTCTAGTTCTTGGCATTCCTTCGAACCGATCATCAAGGTCTCTGCTTCCCGATTCCTTACTCTCTAAGGCATTTTTCCGGACTCCAAGCACATTCTCCCGTGAGTGTAAACTTCCTAACTATATTTATATTATCCTTAAAATCTCATATTCGTAAGAATATACCACTTCTTCATACAAAGATGAGCCTTTTATTAATCAAACCAAAAAAATTTGTTCAAGTTACTAACTACTAAGTTCCTATATATTTCTTAAATATTGTCTGCAATCTCTTGCCGATGCATTCGTAGCGCCTCCTTGCACTCCCTTCCAATGACTTTGTACATTTTTTTCCTCTTGTACTTCGAATCATCTAGATTGTCCATTGCATTGACAATCTCTCCAATCATTGTGACTCCACCTTGTTGCATTGAGCAAAGAGTTGATGGGCACAACTACTTGCAAGAAATTTGAACCGCACAGACCTCTCAACATCTACTTGATTCAAGAGCCAATTCAATTCGCGCACCTCAATTTTGAGCCGCTCATTCTCCTTTTCCACTAAAGTGATCTCTGCTCCCTTGATCTAACATATTTAAGCATATGACATCTGTGTCTCTACTAATTCCTTCTCCTTCTCTTCTTTTTCCTTCACCATGCGATTCATATTATCCATTAGTTGCGCAATCATGTACAACTGATCCTGCTTCTTGCCGTCCACCCTATTCATTATCCGAATTACCTCCATGTAGCCATCCTCATTAGACAATCCGATATCTAACTAATACTCTTTCTTCTCCTAGGGAGTCAACCATCCCATCCTTGAATACATGTGCACTAAGAATGACGAGAGATACATGACTCTTTTATCTTTTCCCCTTAGTCTCTCCACCATTGATTTCACATTCCGGGCAAAGATCTCTCCCCAATTGACCTATGAATCCTTCCACGATGCAACTTTATGCATACTGACATAAGTAGTACTCGATGGTGAAAACAGTTGATTCAAGGTAAAGATGAATTTTCTATGAAAATCATCCTTTTTTAAATCGATCTTGTAGCCATTTGTACCCTTGCATTCCCTTGGGTCAAACCACTTAGTTTTGTCAAAATCAAACCCTATATAAAAGGCAGAGCCTTTCAATCAAGTCCATCCTTCTCTATCGTATAATCTCTTTCTAATACCTTTGTCCACGTCGCAGCATCCCACAACTCAGGTTGCCCCCTTGTTCCAATTTGACGTGTTGACTTTCTCAT